ATCTCCAGTCCCTTGCCTTCTTTGTTCATCAGCATCTACAGCATTGAACATCATCAAAGAAATAGAGAAGAAATGGTTGAAAAGCTATGTGCTTAGCTTTAGAGAAACAAAGGAACTTCAGACAGCATCTAGGTTCCCCACCCCCCCACATATGATGCTAGTTTCCGAAGCACCTTCCCTAGATGGTTGCTACAGTTGCCAACAGCCCTGGGGGAACACGTCCTGTCCCTTTAATGTGTGGAAATGGGCAGCTGAAGCTTTTCAAGGCATGGAGGTACATAACATCCCATTAAGCATCTATTTAAAGTATGGGACATTCTTTTTCTCCAGGTCAGATTGCTAGTAGTCCCTCACGTTTTCAGAGCATCCTTTTATGACGTATTTCTAAAGATTCCCAAAAGTAATCAACAACAGGAACCAGCCAGATGAAGCTCTTCCTCTGGTTCTCATGTTCTCTGAATTTCCAGAATAAGACAATAAAAAACATTTACTGGATTATCCTCACCTCCAAAATACTTTCCTGCAATTGTATGAGTTATTTTTCTTTTTTTTTAAAGAAACACAGTACAGTGCAAGAGTAGGGAAACCCAGTGGTGAATCATAAAAATGCTACAGGAAGGAAGATCTGGATTATGCATTACACTGAGAGGGCATGGGCCACTTTGCACTAATATGTGGACATACTCCAAAAGACATTTAAAAAATAAAGACCTGTTAACGTTTTTAGAAGAGCTCAAATTTAATTCCAACTGACTATTATCCACAGAAAAGGTAAGAAACTAATTCATCTGTAGGAAGAAGTATGTATGTTTGTTTGTTTATTATTGGGACATTCAAGAAATGAAGAAGGGTTATTCTGCTAGGAAATTCGGGGATTTGATGGATGTATACCTCTAAATTAATATTTCCAAGATTTTATCAGCTAGGCCAATTTTTTTCAGACTTTACCACCAACACTGAATGAAATTGTAATTTTGGTGATCTTTCCATCTCAGGAAGCAGCAGCAGCATCTTTCTTTTCCTTCTGACAAAAATACTTATGCCCTCAAAATGTATTATTTTTATCAGACACTATAGCAGTAATGGTTCTATTAATACTGTAGACTCTCCAGGAACATCCCCAGCAATTTCTAGATTTTTAAAAAAGATAACATTTCTGTGGTGAAAGTCCAACACTTATAAGGCTACCGAAAACTGATATTAGATGTGTTCATAGATTACAATGCTTTCTGAAAGATACAATTAAAAAAACACCTTTCTCTAACAAAGAAAGCATTACATCAGAGGAAGCACTGTAGTCAATTCTATATGAGCAGGCAGTAATCTCATAACTTGTGTCACTGTTGTTGCTAAGTCACACATACAAGAAGCCAAACATCACATTTGTAAGGCGTAGCTCAACCCCCTCTGTTAGGGGAGCCTGTGGAAGAATAATGTACCATAAAAGGCAGTGATTCTTTTCACTATGGCCCAGGGACTTCCCTGATTCAATTTCATTCGGATCCTGAGACCACAATGAAAATATTTAAGAACTAGAAGTTTCTATTATACTCTAAAGAGGCAAGCAGTATGATTCATACACGGGTGTAAATCGTAAACTACAAAGCCGCTGTCCTCTTCTGCTGAACAATGTGAGAAGTCACGGGGAGAACCAGGTAGAGCACCCACACAAAAAAGCTCAGTAACCACTGCAATAATTCAATATATGCAAGCATCACCTCTGGCAAAGGAGCCGCAGACCCCATGTGGACTTTTTTCTCCACAGTCCAGGAACTGTGAAGCATAAAGGCACAACTGTTGGACACCACGATCCAGGAAAACAATACTATATTTCATAGTCTTCCATGTCAACACTCAAGCAACAGAAGAACGACGATATATTGACAGATAATGGGCCACTAGGATAACAGCTGAATACTGTCTAGCACTGGAACTAGCTATGAACATCTGAAGGCAAAGATAGGCAACACTAGGTCAAAGAGAGATGAATCTACCCCACCCAGAAATCTGTGATTATCAAAGAAATGTGTATCTAAAATTGTTCAGGCTTTCTTGCCCCTCAGCTGCACACCCCCCATAGTACAGCAAGCTGGAGCCATTAAAGAAGGCCTCTCCCTGCCCTATACAGCATTCCTTGCCTCCTCGTTAGGAAACAACAATGGTTCTTTTGTAGATTTTTGATCCAATTATAAACCCAGTATTTTTTCTTATTGAACACATTTTAAGCAACCTGAAACTATGGGCCATAAATGATACTTTTTTTAACCCACCAATTTAGACCACTTTAGCTTGGGTTGGTTTTTAATGACTGAAATATGCCTTTGATGAAGTTAGCTTTTTAAACAATGGCTCTGTTTACCAGTTTAAATTATACATCAGAGTGATTAGACTGGCCTGAAAACACCATCACAGCCTCCGATACTGTGGGCCATATGCCAAAGAGAGCGAGGGAGGGGATGCCTAATTCAGGCTGGTAGCTCTCCTTATCTTGCATGCATCCTTCAGCAATAGTGGATTTGTCTTTCAGAAAGCCAAGCTGCTTCCAACATGGTACAAAAAAGCCAAACTGATGTACATTGTTACTCATGCCACCCACCATGCTGTTCTCTTGTACCATACTGGATAAATATGCCCAATGTAGCCACAGCTACGATATGAATTTAGAAAGCGTAAATCTTTTTCAACCGACAATCCAACTCAAACGATATCTTGCTATACAGAAGTTCCTTAAAACTGTCAGTTAATACCCTATTTTAAATAAAATCTACAGGGAATGTCATACAGAGACTACCTTACCACAGCTTCCTCCCATTTAACTGCTGATGAGAATGTTTAGTTCAATCCGACCTGCTTTGGGGTTCCAAAATCCAAATAATAAAACTTTGATTAAAGCCTACTATTATATCTTCAGCTCCTATTACTACTTTGATCTTGCTATCAAATGGGAATGGAGTACCTTTAAGATTGTGTATTGCCTGGAAGGACGCAAGCACTACGATGTTTTTCATGTTTGCATGTATTTCTCTACCTAAAATTATGTTTAAAAAGTGTGTAAATTGCTAGTCACCGCCTCTTACACATCAGTCATGTGTTTAAATTTCTATTCCTACAGTGCAACCTTAGGAAGATTTACACCCTTCTAAACCAATGAGTTTAGGACTACAATACCAATAACTTATTTGGGGCCCCGGTCACACGGGCCGGATATCGCACGGGGGGAGGCATGGCTAATTGCCCCGGCACAGTTTGACCCGCGATTACGCAATCAGACGCGCCAGCGGCACACCACGGGGCCTTCCCTTGGCGCCGGCAGGTAAACGAGGCGGGTAAACGAGGGGCGCAATCACACCACGGGCGTCTGAAGGCAGCCCATGGCAAACGTTTACTAGTACCTTGGAGGTACTAGTTTTTCAATGCGCATCTTCGGCGGAAAGCCACAGGAGCACTACACTTCCCAGATGTTGCGGTGTGATCGCGCTCGGAAAATCCGCCTATCATCCGTCTCTTTAGCGCGGCTAATGCTCCGTGTGAATGGGGCCTGGATAAGGTAATTTCAGTAAACTAAGGATGCCCATTCCCTGACTTGGATAGCCAAAGTTAGCCCAATCTTGTCTGATTTTGGAAGCTAAGCAAGGTTGACTCAGGTTAGTTCTTGGATGGGAGAACCCCAAGGAAGTCCATGGTTGCGACACAGATGCAGACAATGGCAAACCACCTGTTTGCCTCCTGGCTGCAACTTGATGGCATTTTCCACCTCAAAGGATGGTCTCTCCAGCTGTTTTCCCTTAAGGGTGGAAAAATCAGAAGCTGCTGCTTGTGAGGAAGGGCTTTGGACTCAAGTCACAGGCAGATGCTCTTAATTCAGCAGATCTAATTGGAGGTAAACACTTGACATGGCAGGCTGGACAGTAACTTGCATGCAATTCCTCTTTGTACATGTAAGCTGCAAACTTGTAAAGAACAGGCTCCTCTACCAGTAGCACAGAAAAAGCCACACAAGGCAACAGAGAAGCACTGGAGCAGAGCTTGTCTTGAAACAAAATGCACCATTATTAACTTTTATTATTTGCAGCACTCAAGCTATACATGGGCAGAGATTTCTCAGGAACTCAGGGTGGAACTACACATATCTGACATTCCCAATCATACAGAGCAGTAGCAGGACTGCTTAATCCTATCACTATCCACAAGGATTGTTCAGATGGCAGGAGTAAGATATTTGCCCCAACTTTTAAAATGCTTTCTAGTTTGAAAGCAGGTGGTGAGGGTGTGCCCTGCTGGACTTGGCAATATCCCTCAAGACTGCTGGGAAAAGTGCCCAGTTTCAATAAGGTCCAACTGCACCTTTAAGACCAACAAAGTTTTATTTTGGGTATAAGTTTTTGTGAGCATGCACACTTCTTCAGATACACTGAAATGGAACACCAATACAGCTTACCCACCTAAATCTACTTCAATAGCTGTATAGCTTGTTCAGTAACAATCTTTTGTTCGCTGGGCAACAAACGTTGGTTCAGAATTACTGGTGCTCTTTGGCTCTTCCCCAGTTATTTCAAAGAAGATGACTTGCACTGATTTACAGCAAGGTTTATGAGTGCTCTGCACAGCTGGAAGCCTGCAGATGACTGTGGGCCAAGGAATGTAAGAGCACTCAGCAGCAGGTGTTCACAGAGCACCCACAGAACCCAGGTACTAACTGCTCCAAAAGTACTTAACTGATGGCAGAACCAAATGAATTACGTGCGGGTGAAGTTTTAGCAGTATCCTTTCGTTGACTGAGTTAAGTACAGCAACTTGTAGCATGATCTGTTGACAGAAGAGTCAACATGGCTCTAATTGATTTCAGCTGCCTTGTGTATGCAACAAAAGAAGCAAGCTTTGCTCAGCTTTTGTTGTGGCTCAGACAGTGGTGCATGTCCTCATGAAGAACACACAGGGGTGAAGATTTTAAACACGAACAATCCTATCACTTGACTAATTGTGTGATGAAGCACAACATTCTTCTGCCCACATATGGGAATAGCTCATCGCTGGAGATGGAGAACTGACCAAATGATTCCCCCGCCCACCCGGTCTCCTGCTAGTCTTCTTCTGTTACTTACGTTGGGGTGTGTGGGCAGGGCATCTGGTTCCAGGCACAGCTATACTGAACTTCGATATAACTCTCAGTGCCATCCAGCACAGAACAGCTCACATTCTTGTTCACTATGTAGGCACACCAGTTTCTGCAGGGGAGAAGAAGAGAGGGAGACAAGAGCAAGGCAGTCACACTGTTAAACCAACAGACAATGCAGATTATTAAGCCATCTGTGTGGGTCAAATGTACAATCATAAATGTTCCTTTCAGAGGAGGGTCAAGGCTGGCTTCCAATTATCTCTTGAAGTTTTTGCCACTAGCTCAACATATGAGAAGGGAGCAAGGTCAATTTTTCAAATCTGTCCAACTGTCAGCTGTGGAGAATGTGTGCTCACTCCCCCTTGTGTGTGCAAACACATACACATGCGTTACCAAGGAACAGGAGTGTTCTAAAATATTGGTTTACCTAATAAACAAAATACATGCAGTTACAGCACATCCTCACCAAATTCAGCCCGTCTACAAAACAGAACTTGAATTTGTGCTGTCAAAACTCACTCAGAGCTAATAATGACTGCGTAAGAGTGAAGCAACCAGTTTTTAGCTGTTTGGCTCCAAACATGAACACATACAAGAAAAGTGCTCAATTAAAATATGCTCAATTAAAAATGCTTCGTTTCTTATTAAGCAATAACAAAGGATATATGGTGCCAGAAAAGACAGTTGCAGAGCTTAGCATTAAACTAAAACCATATGGTGCTGGATCACAAATGGAACAGGGTATGAAGGAATCATCCCTCTATCCTGATCTGTTGGATGACTCCTGAGTGACTTTGTGCCAGCCTATTTGGCTAGAGGGCTTTTTGGTCTTTCTCAGTTCTGTGATGGCATCACAGCAGCTTCCTTTATTAAGCTGAATGCTAACTAATAGCCAACAATAACTGATTGATTCTTCTTCAGTAGGGGCAAATGGCTGGAAGATGTTTTCCCCTGAATTTACTTGCAGGAAGAAGTGTTTTAGACCAATACCCTGGAGGGGCTACAGCTGAGAAAATAAAGCAGTCACAGGTAGAATCTGAAAAGAGTTAGATTATACAGAGGGGGGGGGAGCAGGAGTGAGGTGCAGAGGTTTATACATTTGCTCTCAGGGCCAGTGGTTTTGCTGCCTGTTTTTAGATGTCTGCTTTCTCTAGCAGGCTCTGCTTATTTATTTGTAAAGTAAAAGAACAATCCTAAAGAGACTTATTCAAGACTGTTCAAGTGTTATTAGATTGTGACTGAAAATATAGCACAAACACACTATTAGGTACACAAATCTCTCTTTTATCCAAATGGCATCAAACTGTTCAGTAGAACCTGTACTTTTCACTACTTAGGGAAGTAGGGGGGGTATTTAACAATATGATCTCACGTAGTGCTTCATGGGCTGGGTAGTAATGATCTCTTCCTCTAATAGTTCCAGATGTGCCTCATCTTGGAAGAGGTCAAACTCAGAGGCTGAATCTTCTCATCAGTTTGTACACTGTTGTCTGGCCAACACTGAGCTTCCCAATGACTCATGAAGACTGTGTGCACTTCAGATGAACATTTATGTACAGCCAGTCCAACCAACCAAATAAGGCAAATCCACCAAATCTACCAAATAAGGCACATGTAGACCTAGCCTTTGAGACAGACCTCATCCACATCCTTTAGCAACAGTTGCCTATTTGGTAAGATTACAAAAGCACCTCTGATCCAAATTAAGGAAGAACTTTGAAGGAGCACGTGCAAGCTGTGATGGATATTGAGATGATCTACTGGACGTCAAAATTACCACAAGAAGCAAGCAAAAGTGAAGAGGACAGATAACATGTAGTGGCAGAGATAGTTGCAACCAGCATCATGCAGACTGTTGCTAGCTACTGGCTAGGAGTAACCTTGGCCAGTCAGCAACTATGATGCCAACCCTACCTGTGGATTCCTCACTGCCTCCTCATGGCACCAGTGCGTCCTACCCTGACCCTGGGCTGCCCCTAACAGTGGGGGTCTCACCCCCCCAGCGTTCCACCTCACCTGCCCTCACTGCACATGTATCGAAAAACCACTGCAATAGAGGTGATCCTTTACACGTGTGAAAACAGCCATCACGGATTGTGCTGCAGAACGGCCTTTTCCACCGCCAGCCTCAAACACAACATTTTCCAAGTTCTACTGGATAAAAGGGCAGAGCTGTCCATAACGAAAGCCCGGTCAGGCGTTCCACGGGGAGTGAACGAGAAGCACCCACCAGGGAAGGGACCCTGACGTCTTTCCGAAGCCGCCGCAGCCGCAGCCCAACCCAGCCCGCGCATCTGGCCACTCTGGCTGCAGCGGAGGCGCCCCGGTTCCAGCAGCCAGGCCACCCGCCCCGCCCCCCACCAACCCCCGGCAGGCATTTCACTGGCTCCGACCTGCCCCACTGCAGGAGGCTGCGATCGGGGTATCTCAGCGCCGAGGCGCTCGACCTCGACCCGACCCCAGCCAGCCCACCTCCTGGCGAGCTGTCCAGGCAGGCAGGGCCAAGCAAGAGCCCCCGCCTGACGCTGCTCTTGGGAGGTGCGCAGCGGGAGCACCATGGCCCCCGATTTGGGGAGGCTGCCGGGGGGGGGGGGGGGGGGGCC